AGAGGAGGGCGGAAGCCGGGGCCACCCTGTTGGTCCGGAGGATCGAGGCACTCGGACTCCGCGTGGCACTCCACAAAACCGAGGCCCTTTGTTTCAAAGGACCGAGGTGGAGAGTGCCCGCGGGAGCGACCCTCCGGATCAACGGGGACGAGGTCGAGGTTAAGGCCCGGATCAAGTATCTTGGCCTTATCCTCGACGGGGGTTGGCGTTTCGGAGATCACTTCCGGACGCTAACCCCCCGACTCGTCGGCGCGGCTTCCGCCCTCGCCAGGCTCCTCCCGAACCTGAGAGGTCCGGGCGTGCAGGTCAGACGCCTGTACGCCATGGTCGTCCGCAGTATGGCCCTGTACGGCGCGCCGATATGGGCAGAAGCCCTCGACGCGCCGAACAGGGCCCTCCTCCGCAGGCCGCAGCGCATCGTCGCGGTGCGCGCATGCATGGCCTACCGTACGGTGGGCCATGCAGCGGCCTGCGCTTTGGCCGGCACTCCCCCATGGGAGATAGAAGCGGGTGTGCTGGCCGAAGCGTACCGGGAGCGGGTCGAGCAAAGAGCCAGTGGCGAACCGCTCGCCCCAGAAGAGCTCGCCCGCTCCCGGGCGAGGAGGAAGCGGACGACCATAGAGCTGTGGGCCAATAGCCTAGCGGGCGCCGAATACGGCACCCGCACCATAGAGGCTATACGCCCACAGCTCTCGGACTGGTGCGGGAGGCGCCACGGCGCGTTAAGTTACAGACTTACACAGATCTTAACAGGTCACGGCTGCTTCGGGCGCTACCTATTCCGGATACGAAGAGAGGAAAGGATGTCGTGCCATGAGTGCGGCGCTGATGAGGACACCGCGCAACACACCCTTCAGGTGTGTACAGCGTGGTCCGAAGAGCGCCGCACTCTGGTAGCGGCAATCGGAGATGACCTCTCACTCCCAGGCGTAATTCGCGCCATGCTGGGCAGTGAGGGGTCATGGGAGGCAGTTTCCTCCTTCTGCGAAACTATAATTTCGCAGAAGGAGGAAAGAGAGCGAGAGCGCGAGGATAACCCCCTCGCGCCCCCGCTCAGACGCAAGAGAGTGGGGAGAAGGAGGCGACAATTTGCCGCCGCCCTTCCCCCCACCAACCATGCGTGAGGAGGAGGCCCCTTCAGGGCGATAACGCAGGCGG